TTTATCTTCTATAATTGAAACTTTGTAGCCTTGAGAGGAGGCCAGGTCCCTGGAAACCCAGGCTCCCAGCCCCACCTTGAGCAGAGGCCATAGCCGGCTGTAAGCAGGTATCTGGGATTTATTTATTTATCTTCTATAATTTAAACTTTGTATCCTTGAGCGTAGCCCAGGGCCAGCCAGGGCAGGTGGGAAGCTTGGCTTCCTCCATCACCGGGGGCAACCAAAGCCTCCTGCTCGCTCCAGCTCTGTGGCCGCAACCATCTTAGTTGGGTTAATTTGCATACTCTCTCCTGATTGGCTGGTGGGCGTGGCTTGAGTGTAGCAGAAGGACGGTTAATTTGCATGTTTTTCTTTTATTATATAGGATTAATTTTAGAGAGGAAGGATGAGGGAGAGAGAGATAGAAACATCAATGATGAGAAAGAATCATTGATCCACTGCTTCCTGCAAACCCTGTACTGGGGATCGACCCTGCAACCCAGGTATATGTCCTGACAGCAAATGGAATCATTACTTTCTGGTTCATAGGTCAATACTCAACCACTGAACCACACCAGCCGAGCTATTATGATATATCTTGGTGTGAATTTATTCTCCTTGCAATGAACTTATTCAAAGGTGCTAGAATAAATGTCTCAGGTTAGTCTTTTTTCATTTATCCTCCTTGAAATTATAAGACTTTTTCATTTTAAGGTTTATGTTTCCCTTCATCTATGGGGAATTTTCCCCTATTCTGTTTTACTTTTATTCTCCTTAGTTTTTCTCTGTTCTTTGTTTTGAAACTCATTAAGGTAATTCTTTGCTTGATTCGCATGTCTGTTATCTTCTTGTATGCTTTTATCTATTTGCCTTTTTACTCTATGATCTAAGCACATGTAATTTGGTAATCATATCAAGCCCTCATTTAATTATTCTTTTCTCATATTTTCTCAATTTTCTTTGTTTACTTTTTTGCTTTTTATTTTCAGATGAAATTTATATATATTAAATAGTGTCAAATTGTGGTCCATAGTGATTCTACCAATTTCCATTCAGTTTCTTCATATCCTCCTAATATGTATTAGTGGTCCAGTGCATGAATTCATGCACATTGAAAGGAAATTAATTGGAAGAAATATCTTAATATTGCTATTTGCGCTTTCTCTATAATAGAAGTGTCAACCAAATTCACAATCAACAATGACAGATTGAAACACACG